CTGCAATCCTATTACTTCATTCTGTGCACTTAAAAATAGTATTGTGAGAGGGGAGCCACAGGTTTCACACAGAAAGATCAATGACCAAAAAAAAAAAATTAAGAACCTCTCATCCAGAAACTCTGCCCACTGCCCAGGCTCAAGAGAAATTACCTGCTTTGCTTTATGGAAGGAACATGAAAGCACAAATGGTTTTAGAATAGTCCTCACCCTATTTTTCAAGGGCTGTCAAGCTATTTTGAAACTTCCTCCAGTCATAAATGATCTCTCCCCTCTTCAAATTTCTCATGGCACTCTGGACATCTCCTCTAGACTTGTCATATTCCATCTTATTTCATTGTTCTTTATGTACCTACTTATCCCTCATCAAACCAGAAGGTCTTTAAGAGCAAAGACCATCTCATTTTATCTTTATACACTCAGTACCTTGCACAGTGTTTTGAGTGCAGCAAATATTTAATAAAATCAACAACTAGCTAAAGAATTTCATCCAGGACCTACTGTGTTTATGTTCTAGACTCTGTGCTAGGTTCTGAAAACACAAAGACAAAAACAAAATAATTTCTGCTTTCAAGAAGGTTACATTTTAGGGTCAGTGGGAAAGGGCAACATACACAGAGAATCATAATATCTGTGTCTGTGTGAGTGGGTGGGTGTGGGTGGGTATTCTGGGTATGAGTATGGGTGTGTGTTACTTTTTAGTACATACCTGTAACTTCTTTGGTGTTGAATTCCCAGTAAAGAAATAAACCCCAAATCAGCAAATATACAACAATTTACGATCTTAGAGGGTTTATATATAGAGCTCATACAAAATAATATCAGGAGCACTAGCCATTTTGGGGAAAAAGAAAGGCTTCTCCTGTAGGATGTGACATCCAAGTCGTATTTTTAAAAAAGCTAAAAATTCCATGAGGTGCAAATGTAAAGGGAGAACATGCCTAGAAAGCAGAGAGAGTATGAGGAGGAGTGATGTGTGCTAAGACTAGAAAGAGAGGTTGAAAGGCTTTACATGTCAGGTGGACGGATTTTTTTATTTTATATTAGAAGCAAGATGGAGCTGCTGAAGCTCCTTCAGATGGAAAATTACATGGTCAGACCTAGGCTGGGTGGTGCAGCAGATAAAGCACTGGGCTTAGAGCTAGGAAGACTTGAGTTCAAATCTAGCCTCAGACATATTAACTGTGTGATCCTGGGCAAATCACTTAACCCTGTTTGCCTCAGTTTCCTCATCAGTAAAATGAGCTGGAAAAGGAAATGGCAAACCACTCTAGTATCTTTGCCAAGCAAACCTCAAATGGGGTCCCAAAGAATGAGAAAGGACTGAATAGGCTATAGGTATCAATTTGGCAGCTAGGTAGACGATAGATAAGAGAAGGAGAAACTAAAGTCAGGGAGACAAACGTCTGCTGAATTTGAATTTAAATTCTGAGTTTGGATAAATCATTTCTGATTTTTCCTTTATAATGAACCCTTTTCTTCTGGGCTTTTGTTTGCATAAATAATGCATTCTGCTGAAACAAGAAAAATATCCAATTATTCCAACATACATAATATTATTAAAAATATCTAAGAAGAATGCTCCATCAAATCCCCTATAAAGAAACCACATGTGTGGCAACAGTGTGTTATTTTAACCATTATTTTAAAATTATGTTCAAATTCAGTTCCATGAAACTTTTTTTCCCCAAATCTTTCTAGTTCCTATTCCATTTTGTGACCAAGATTTAATCCAGAAAGACAGCTAAACCCAAAATGGGGATGCATCTTAGAAAATATCAAGGAAAGAAAAACTGAAAATAGATTTTTCTAACACTTCATGTTTTAGATTTACTTTTATCCAAACAGATCCCTATTCTTCTATTTTTTATATTAACTAATAACACAAGGAAATTAAAAGAATATTGGGAGATGCTTTGGGGTTGGGTTTTTTTTTTTTTGGCTTGGCTTTTGGTTTGGTTTTGCCTAGCCTCAATGCTAGGAACGTTTTTTTCCACCTGAGGAGGAAGAAGAGAGAAAAAGGAGAGAAAGAGAGACAGAGAGGGAAGGAAGGAGAAACAGTGGGCAACAGACAGACAGAGAGACAGACAAAGAGAGAGAGAGACAGAGAAGAGACAGAGAGAGAGAGAGAGATAGAAGAGAGAAACACAGAGGAAAGAGAGGGAGAGGGAGAGGGAGAAAGAAATGAGAGAGGCAGAGAGAAGGAGGAGAAAGAGGTAGAGAGAGGATGAAGATGGGAGATTCACTGTGAAGAAGAAAAACTGAATATTTTACTCAATACTATATCACTCAGCTCAGGACCACCAAGAAAAGTTGCAAGAAAATATCTTTCATTCTTCTCAGTTTGTTTAGGAACATAATGTTTTAGAATACAATTCCACGGTCTCCTTGTGCCTTAAACTGTCCAGGGAAAATGGCTCAGTCTAGAGTGTAAGAGTTGGAGGGGGAAGGTAAATCAGCCAGGTGCTCTCATATCCTACACCTCTAGTGCAGGAGCTTTTAACTCTTTTTGTCTCGTGGATGCTGTATTATTAATAGCTAATAGGTATGTGCTGGGTACCATGCTAAGTACTTTACAAATATTATTTCATTTGATCCTCACAATGATCCTGGGAGGTAGGTGCTATTATTATCCCCCTTTTACAGATGCAGAAACTGGGGCAAACAGAGGTTAAGGGACTTGCCTGGGGTTACACAGCTAGTACTTATTCGAGACTAGATTTGAACTCAGGTCTTCCTGACTGCAAGCATGCCGTGTACCCCTCTGGCAGTATGGTGAAGTATACAGAACCCTTCTAAAAATAATTTTCAAATGCATAAGACAAAGTATGTAGAAATTTTTAAAGAAAATCAATACTAATGAAATACAATTATCTAAATATTAAATAAGTTCACTGATCCCAGGTTAAAAACCTCTGCTCTTATATAAGTGACAAAAACCAAACCAAACCAAAACTCCTGGTATTTGCTTCCTTGATTCCCCTCCCCACCCTTTCTTCTACCAACAGCCACAACAATCTTTTGTCTTGCCTACAGAATTTAATACTTCTATACTAGATTACTTATACTGACTGAAACCAAAACATAACTTCTTCCTATTGCCCCTTCCAAAGTCAAAGTTGTTAGCCCCATAGCACTGATGCCCTTCCTTCTAGACCATCGGTTCTTAACCTTTTTTGTATCAGACATGCCTTTGACAGTCTAGTGAAACCAATGAATTTTTTCTCAGATTTTTTAAAAATTCATAATAGAAGGAAATAGTGAATTTCAGTAAGAGATAAGTGAAAATAGAGGTGTAATGGTAGCATTTTAGTGTTAGTTTACTGCAGGGAAAAGAGCACTGGTTTTATAGTCAGAACACCTTGGTTTAAATCCTGGTTCTATGACTTAATCAATCAATTAAGGCACTGTGCTAAGACTTGTTGCTAGTGACTTGCTCAGGGTCATTGACTCTGGACATACAGAAGCAGGATGTAAACCTGTCTTTCTGGCTACTGGGCCAGCTCTCTACCTACTATACTATGATTACTCTTTCTGGTGGTTTTTTTTTGTTTCTTTGTTTGTTTTTTTAGGCAATTGGGGTTAGGTGACTTGCCCAGGATCACACAGCTAGTAAGTGTCAAGTGTTTGGTTTGAGGCCAAATTTGAACTCAGGTCTTCCTGACTTCAGGGCCGGTGCTCTATCCACTGTGCCACCTAGCTGCCCCTTCATGATTACTCTTAAAATTATAAAGGACCAAAAAACTGGAGAAAGAAGAAAATTTCTAAAGCAAACTTAATGAAATTGGAAAATTTAAACCAATTGTTTCATAATGATATTTGCAATTGGACAGAGGCAGAAAGCATCAGATACTTCAAGATTGTTTTATTAGGAAATCTAATTAGAATATTAAAAGGTTTACCTAAATATTTAGAAGGGAATTAATCAAGTGAAGATGGTATTGAGTATACTGAGAATATTTGAGGGGATGGAGTAATAGCCATCCATCTACAAACGTGTGTTAGTATGTGTGTATATATGCACATACGTATACATGTGTGTATATGTATATACACACATATATAAATCTGTATATAAGTACATATGTATATGTGTGTACACATATACATATAGATGTATACACACACACAATTTCAGCATTACACCACTTCAGAACTTCACATTGTGAACTCTTTCAAATTTATTTTTGGTTATCCAATATCCAAGCTCAAGGTGTCAGTACTGGTCAAATGAACTAAAAATTTTTGGAAGGAAGACCAAGAACACTCTGTGTTTATATACATATATATATATATATATATATATATATATATGGAGAGAGACAGACAGACAGACAGACGGATAGATGTCTCTTGTGGGCCCTCATTTAGGCAGTTTCACTACCTCATAATTAAACCAAGCTTTGAATTCCTGACTGAAATTTTTCATTGCAACCTCAACAAATGACTTTCACAAATAAATTGGACTCATTATATTCAGGTCACAGCAAGACAAGCTGGGGGCAAACTCACTATGTGGAAGGAAGCACCATGGATTTCTGTTTCCTTTACTAACTATTACTATTTGCTAACAATTCAAGAAACTCAAATGCTAATTCCTAATGGAGACTGCAATAACAAGAGTCATTTGCACATGCTGATTTTGTACACTGCCTGTTGTGTGATGGGAAAACAACCAAACTCTTACATTATCAGGAGATATTTATAAGTCTGTCACATAGCCTACTAATACCTTTAAGTAATAAATTGTCATGAGAAAGAAACATGTTACTTAGCAACATATTTCACCTTAAAATCTGGTTTCAGAACTTTTATTTACAGAGCTATCTTAATAGAGCTTTCTAAAAAGGACAAATTGTCAAACATTTTCTAAAGCAAATGCACTATTTGCTCATAAACAGAATTTTACTGACTTAAAGAAACACCACTTCCCCACACAGACAAATTGGCCCTCGAGCACACATCTTTATAAGCATAAGAAAGTAATTTCATGCTCCTACCTTTTTTAGAAACCGGACTCCATAGGTAAACACATAAAGGTAAAATGTAAATCGCCACCTGTAAAAAGGTAATAGTATATTATGTTGGGTTAATTAAATGTATTTCACAATACACTGTGTACTAAATGAACAGGAGCACTAGACAACCTAGATATACTTACTGCCAGAGAAATGTAAGGTACTGAGCAGTTATAAAACCAGCTAAAAAATACATTTTCTATATAAAGGGTTAAATGTTTTATTCATAACATTTTATTTTTCTTCAGCTCGTTATTTCATTTTCCCTTATTCCCCACATCATCTCCTCTACACATAGTACCCCAGGGTTTTCTAATCCAACATTTACACTTCCTTTTGTGATTAAGCACTTAGCATCCATGAGAGGATGTGGTTCAAGAACCCGAGGGTGTACAAAACAACCTTAAACTCTGTTCCTGGATCAGACACTAGTTCTCTGTAGCTACAAATAAACCATTACACTTAAATCACATTTTACTTTTGTAAAACAGAAAATACATCTAGAAAATCTGCAATAGAAGGTCAGATGAAATTTTTTTAATATGAATGTAACTCTTTGTCTTATACCTAAAAGAGGGCATAAAAATGAGAATGATACATTTGAATTTATATTAAAATACTAACCCTGACTCCTCCCAGACAAGAAGATTCTGAAAAATAATCAGATATGGATATAGTCTTGCAAATTCTTACACATTTCCTTAACACATTATTAGGATATCAAAGGCAGCATGGCATAGTATATTGAGAGCTAGCCTCCAAGATAGGAAGACCTGAGTTTAATTCCTACCTCTGACTTCCACTGACCATAGGACTTGAGCACATTATTTAGTACAGTGCCTGACACATAATAGGTATTTAATAAATAAAATGTTAATTGATTGATTGAAGCCACCCAACCTTGGTGCTCAATACCACTCTCTAGTTTTAGAGAAGGTGAAGACCTGCATTGTGAAAGGGAGTTTTCCCACTGGGGAGTCTCCTGTATCCTTAATTATCACTTGCTTCAAGGAATTTCCTTAAGGCAGATCAACAGCATGTGTATTATTTTTGCAAAACATGGTATTGCAATGCCCACTGCATGGGGAAATCATAAGATTCCAAAAGATCAATAATGAAGAATGCTATTTACCTCCCAACAGAGGGATGGTGGTCTCAAGGTGCAGAATGTAACACATTTTTGGATATGGCTTGATTATTTTTTTAAAAAAGAAAGAAATTAAAAAGGAAAAAACAAATAAACACATACTGGTAAACCTACACATGCATATCTTGATTTATGAGTGTACACTTCCCTTATAAGTCAAGTTATATCAAGTCAAGAAGCATTTAAGTGTTTACTCTGTGTCAGGCATTGTGCTAAGTGCTAGGGATACAAAAAAAAAGGAAAAGAAAAGAAAAATGAACTCTGTTCTCAAGAAGCTATTGTTAAATGGCCCAGATGGTAGGCACAATTAGCATCAAGGGGGAATCAGGCTTCCTGTAGAAGACTGGATTTTAGTTGGGACAGACATGAGGAGGGAAGTAGAGGCAGAGATGAGAAGGGAAAGCATTCCAGGCATGGAGGACAACTAGAGAAAATGCACAAAGTCTGGTGTATCATGCAAGGAACAGCCAGTGTCACTGGATTTTAGAGCACAGGGAGCTGAGAAAGATAAGACTGAAAAGGCAGAGAGAAGCCAGGTTATGAAGGGATTGAAAACCTAAACAGAGGGTTTTATACTGGATCACAGAGGTAAAAGTGAGCTACGAGGTTTATTGAATAAGAAAGTGCTGGGGATTTTAGGATGATAATCTGGAAAATACTTGTCATTTCAAGAGCTATACTTTGAATAATTCATACTTCTGAAAGGAAAAAACACCAGCCAAAAATTTTCATAGTCATAAAAAGAATCAAATTCTTTCAGCGACCAGGAAAATATCATCCTAGAAGGGGCTTTGAGACTATAACTATCTGCTCTTTGATAGAGACCACATTTTTCTCTATCTTCAGTCTCCTTAAGGAGCCTGTGCTAAATTTAGCAACCCCTCAATTCAATTCGACAAGATACTATGTGCCAGCTCCTGTAATAATTACTGGCAATATAAAGACAAAAATGGTCCACACACTCAAGGAACTGATATTCTACTGGCAGAAACACGTACAAAGATTAATACATACAAAACACATACACAGGAAATATAAAGGAGAAGGCACTTGCACAGAGTCTCCAGGATGTAGAATGGGCATTCTTATTTTGAAGTCGGGTATCGCCAAGAGATCTATGGATTGATTTTAGAATTTTCATGCACAGGGATGGAAAAAATTACATCTTCATTTTTACTAAGAAACCTCTAACTGAAATTCAGCACTTCTTTCAATTATTTAAAAACATCATTCTGAGGGGTCCCTTAACCAGACTATCAAAGGGATCTATGACATACAAAAATGGTTACGAAGCCCAGATTGGGAAGGACATTAAATGTCCAAAAGAGGAGTTTGTATCTGATCCTAGAAACAATTAGTCATTGAAGTCTCTCTAGCAGGAGAATGACACATTCAGACTATGCTTTAGAAATCATGGATTTGTCAATTATGTGGAAGATGGAAGTTCCTTGAAGCCAGAGACTATTTTATTTTTGGTTTTGCATTCCCAACACCTAACAAAGTGCTATGCACATAATAAATGCAGTATTTAATTGCTATGAAGGGAAGATCTGGAGTCAGGGGGACCAAATAGGATGTTATTACAATATAATACAAGTGTTACATCTAGGGTGGAAGAGAGGAGACAGATGTGTGATATGTTGGAATGGTAGAATCCACAAGGCTTGGCAAGACTTGGATATTGAGAGTGAGAGAGAAAGAAGAGTCAAGGGTGACTTGAAGGACAGTGATATGCTCAACAGAGATAGAAAAGTTGAGGAAGAGGGAAGAATTTTTCAAGGAAGAGAGTGAATTCCATTTTGGACAGCTGAGTCTGAGGTGCCTATAGGACATCCAGGTGGAGATATTCAGCAGACAGTTGATGATGTAGATATAGAGATAAGCAAGAAAAAGATGAGGCTTAAAGAATGTCTTCTCTCCTTATTTCCTTTGTACTGCAAAAATAAAATCATACCCTCTTACTCCTCATTTTAACCAGAACTGCCCTACGTCTGCTATTCAAGTAACCAATTTTCCTACTCACATTTCAAATTATACCAATAATAAGATCTAAGACAAAACACAACTTTTCATTACAGGACATAAAAATTTAAATATAAGAATATTAAATAATCTTTTCTATTTTAAAGGTAGATTCCTGCTCTATGGAAATTGTTTCTAAAATTATCCATTGGGACTATAATCTGAGAAACAAAAACAAATCAGTTTCTAGCACAGAGTCTTAGAACCACAGGCCCTTTGGGGATTTTCTCCAAAGATTCATAAAAATAAAAATTAGGATACACTATCAAATAATACGTCTTAATATTTGAAAGAATGCACAAAGAAGAAATTTGAAAAAATGCATTGATATTAGGTAACTGTTAGTTTCTAGTTTAAAGAACTTGGCTGTTTTTTTAAGGAGGCAATTCAGTGTTATAGAACAAAAGACTGGTCTCTAAGTCGGAACACTTGGGCTCTGGTCCACACTCTCCAGCAAACTGCAACAGGGAGACCGTTCAGTTAAAGTTTCTTAGCTTCAGTTTCCTTGAAATAAAAATGTTGAACTAAACTAGTTCAACTAGGTTAACTAGGGTGTTGGACCCTAAAGGTCCAATCCAGCTATAAAGTTCTATAATTCTACATTACACAATAACTAATGGGAAAAAAGTTTAAAAATGCATAACTAACATCGAAAAAGTACATTGCAAAAACAATAAAGTTTTCTTGACTTTCCCACAAGAAAAATAGCTTATCCCATAAAAAAGATAAACTGGGCTCTACCTCATGACCAGTCATGAAGTATTTCCCAGAGGACTGTTTCACCAAAGAAAGTCTGGAAACCTTTATAATGAAATGAATTATTTAAAAGGTTTTAAAGTCTTTCCTATGTTTTCATAGTATGGATAAAATGATCATGTTGCCATTTCCTTCCCTAGAAAAGAGAGTGTTCCACCCCATACACTAGGTTATTCAAGTATTTTATATTATCTAAATCTGAAGATCAGAACATAAGGCTATTTAAAATGGCCTTTCACCACATCTGGTATATTGTCTATTGTCCTTATACAACAAAATCTAAGCAAGGCTCTTTAAAAAAAAATGAAGCTTAACGACATGTCTCATAAAGGTAGAGAATTAGAGCAGTACCTGAAATACTGTGCAGTCATCCCTGGAATAGCAGATGGATATTAAACTATAACCAGGAAAACCAAAACTCTGGGAAACAGAATCTTGAGCTCAGCAAAGGGGACAGTTAACATTGAAAACCTTCAGGCTCCAACAACTCCTGGAAAATTGTGGTCATGTGTTCCTATTTGCTTATGTTTGTTAAACTCATAATACAAAATTTAAATTTTAAGTTTCACATGTCATCCTTTTTTCTGTTCCTTTGTCGAAAGTTTCCTTTTTATCAACATGTCAAGTTCACAACATAAAAAGAAAATAGTAGTTATCTTTATTATGTCCTTTCTCAATTATCCACACTGAAGGAGGCATGTCATAATATGGATAATTGTAAACTGGATCACAATAGGCAAGAGGGTTTTTAAACTTACCTGGACATTCTAAATAACCTGCATGTGTACTGATCATTTTAAATTAATTCCATGTGAAATGTAGGGATTATTTAACATGAAACATTAACAAAGGAATTTCCACAACAACCTTTCTTGGAAGCAGGTTTCTTTCAAAAGTTTTTAGCTAACAGTTATCAGAAATTGCCTAGCAAGAACAAAGTATAGAATTAGAGAATCTCAGAGTTGGAAAGGACCTCCCAGGTCTATCTAAAGAACAGCTGACCAAGAATCCACCCTATGTCATACCAGACAGCTAATCATCCAGCCCTTACTAGAAGTCCTTCAAGGGGGAACCCACTCACTCTCTCCTGAGGCAGTCCATTCCGGATAGCTCTC